CTGATGATCACAATCGTCAGTAAGACGACAGTGATGACTGCAGCAAACATCCACCGAGATCTGCACACTGAAAAATTATATCTACTTGTATTATGAAAATTTTGAAATCGTTTTGAAAATAAAGCCAGCGGTGTTAAAACAAATGACGTCTGCAAAATGTTATCGAATGCTTTTGTCAAAACTGGCACCGTGGCTTACAAAATTGCCATATTATATATTCATTTACACATTCGCTGTGTACATCTCTGATATACAAACACATTTAACAGCGCAATAATACACACACACACACACACACACACACACACACAAACACACACTCACATATACAATTTTGACTTATGTCATATAAAGATGACAAAACTTATGTTTTAAATAGAATGTAGTAATCTCTCACCACCAGGTTCTTGTTGAGCATTTGGCATCATATTCGCTGCGTTTGGCGAGTACATCGGATTCCGGTGCAATGCACCTTGAACGGGCGTCCGCCCGAGCGCCACTGGAGGATGTCTACTATCACGGAAGTTTCCACTGGATGCTGAATTGACGTCGGTATCCTCACAACTGCTTGAGGACGTTCTTGTTGTGGAACTGTCAGAGTTATCCCGACACATGTACGCTACCGCATACGGTGTACAACCCACACCGTCTTCTCCTTGGTACCTGACAGCATAGGGCTGGATGGGGGGATCGCCATCACTCATTTCTGGACTTGAAACGGTTTGATCATCTTGCTGGTGTTCAGATGTATCGGGCTGAATGCAGGGATTTTCTAGATTCAATGCAGACCTCGGGTTTGCTTTCGTTTGGGCGTTTTGTGGATACATTGGATTCGAGTTGCAGGCATTCGGATTTTGGGTATCCTGGTTATACATAGGGTTGAGATTCCGGGCGTTTTTAGGGCTTTTAGGATCGGGAGGAATGTCAACTGGAAGGTGGTGGAGGCCGCGTACGCTACTTACATCACTTTCAGTGTTTTGGGATGCTGTCTTTGCTTTCCGTAAGCGTTTTCTTTGCACGTCTTTGGATACTGTCTTGATAAACACCAGGTCATCCTTGCTCATGTATGCGGCGACAAATGCTTTTACACCGGTATGACCAGAAGCGACATCAAGCGAATGTCTATTGTCCACTGCAGCATCACGTTTCATAGACATATCATAAACGCTACCATCATCATCATCATCGTCATCATTATCCTCGTCATCTCCCCTGTATCCATCACTGTCCATTCTTTTTACGCTGATTCCAGTTTGCAAGATTGTTTGTCGCTTACCGTCTCTTTCGAGGATGTTCGTGGCGAGTAACTTCTGGTATATCGGAGACAAGGTCTTCTGCCATGCCGGTAGATGTGGGTTTTCTGGTGGTTCTGGTGTTGTAGGTTCGTGGGGCCGGGTAACGTTAGTCTTTTTTTTCACTACTGTTAGGACGTAATATATTCATTGATTCTGGCACACGGACGTCATTGCATCTACTGTTGGTGTGCTCATCATTTAAACTTTTTTTTTCAATGAAACATGACAGTTGGAGTCAAACCAGGAAATGGGGGTGTTGATGACAAGTTGTCAAATACAAGCGCCTCGTGTGCACTACTGATTTACGTCTGTTTATACCACATTTATTCCCTTTTATGTTACCGTTGTACAGTTTGTTTCATGAATTACACTTATTGACACTACAAATTACAATAAATTCACGTGTACATCCATGAGACAAACCCGAGAAAAAAAGCAATCAGTGCATGTTGATTTATTGTGAGTATTCAACAGTCAACAAGAAGTGTTTGAAATTCGCAATCCACCCACGCAATGTAGTTATCATGAATGCCAAGTTTACCACTCGTCCGTCATTAAAGCTTTGTACAACAGTAACATTATTGGTGCATTTTCCACAACTCAAGTGTCAATATTGTCAATAGTGTCAAACGACCCGTTACACGTTCGTAGCTTACACTCAATCGTGAAATAGGTAAATATGTACATTGAAGATATGACTTGAAATTTTCAACAACCACTGGTAAATGAATACAAATTACCCATTC